ATTTCGATTATTTCCAAATTTATTTCCAACTTATAAAAATTGTTTATCGTATAAAAAAAAAAAAAAAAAAAATTCGTCGCAAAAAATCACGAAAAAAAATCGCCGAAAACAATCGCAGTAATGAAAACTTGGGAATCTAAAATTTCAGGATTGCGGGTTCGGATCCGGCCCGAAATCTTTTTAATATTTGATTCACGGAGTCGGCCTGATTCCAAAATGGTATGATATGTTTGTCTACGGCCTCTAGGAGTAAAAGTCTGGCACAGTGAAATTGACATTATATAGATAATAAATATATATTTATCCCTCACAGTTTCGTTGAATTCCTGACAATTGTCACGTGAATGAAACTCAGAGTTGTACTAAACGGCGAGGGACGAAATGTATATTTATTATTAATATAAATTGTAGCTCTCTTATTTTTTATAGAGCACTGTTTTATTACTATCAGCACTCATGTGATATATATATATATATATATATATATATATATATATATATATATATATATATATATATTAAAAATATATACGGAAAAACAAAAATCCTTATATACAATTATGCTGTTTTAATGTTAATATGTCAACGTCGGACGTTTCGGTCTAATAAACCATCTTCAGGACATATTCACAAATTTATCCAAACATTAACAATTTTACATGACAAAGTTTATGTACATGGTCTTTGACTTATCAAATTGATAATGGAGGTTTTATATTTTCCGTTTATGTACTGAAGATGGTTGTCATTTGAACCGAAACGTCCGACGTTGACATATTAACAGATAAAAACAGCATAATTGTATATAAAGGATTTTGTTTGTTTTTTCCGTATATATTTTTCTTCATACTGTCGGAGCTATATCCATTATTTGCTTACATTTATATATATAATTATTTATTAGAAAATTATAACATAAATATGTTATAAAATCTCTACAAAAATAGCCATTTTGTTTCAACATTTCTGGTGTCTTATCAGGTGATAGTGTTGAATAAATGTAAAAGACAATAGAAAAAGTGTAATATCAGCCGACGCGTTTCGTCCAATGTGGACTTTTTCAAGGCAAGAGACGAAATGAAAAAGTTCACAATGGACGAAACGCGTCGTCTAATATTACAGTTTTCCTATTGTCTTTTACATTTATAAATATTGTCTTTTTTCTACAGGTTAACTCTGAGAAATTTTTCATATATATATATATATATATAGAATGGACGTCATTATTTTACCTTATGGGAACCAACACTTTCTCAAAAGGTACGCGTTGGCGAGAAGCAAGAAACAATGCGTCATCATATTCGGCGTCACAATCTGGATTGTCCGGCAAATGCCGCCCAGTGGGGGTGTCCTGCACTACTTAATGGTTCTTTTAACACGACTCTGACTTCTAGAACGCAAATAGGTAGGCATGTGTTGCATCATACGCGTTTCCAACCTTTGATTGGTCCGTCCTATATACACTGCGTCACAGTACATTGAGCTCTCTGTGGATCAATTTTAACATTTGATATTACTAAGATCCACCTGGATTATATACCAACGGATCTATTATCTCCACTATATAAATATACTTTACTATGTAAAGTACCAGGTTGAGAACTGGCGCGGGCTAGTTGCTCTTGATGAGGGTGAGCAATCCTTTCAGTGTTGGTTTTATGATAAAAAGAATTCAGATGGGAAGGAAAACTCATGACAGCTTAACCTGGTCATTATATTGCATGTCTGCCGAGAGGCGTGTACTGGCTGATATTGACTGTGATCCCGAGAGGTTAAACTCTGGGATAATAACACATGAGGACTGTCGTTCGGAGTTTCCGTGGCAAGTCTTTTACACCGTTATTTTTTTATCGACAGGTGCAAAAAGTGTGGATGGTCCGACACAAGCCTTCACCGCGTGAAACAAAACATTGTGTTGGTTTTCTGACAAATACATCTAATTAGTTCCACACATATCCGGCTACTACGAAAAACTTTACGAATCAACTTCATCTTGGCACTTGGAATGTACGAACTCTCCAGGACAACAACTCAGTACCAGAAAGAAAAACAGTTCTGGTCGCATTGGAAGTAAAGAAGTACAACATTGATATAGCTGCACTGAGAAGTAAGCATCAGTCGACTACAAGAAACGGGAAAGCAAAATAAAACATCTAACAGTGTTCCTGCTGCACTTGCATACAATATATTCTCCTGTACTGTTTGTGGTCTTTTGTGCAATTCTCGAGCCAGTCTCAAAAGTCATGCCCATCATAGGCATGCAGATAACTAGTTCGTGGTCGTCGGAACCTCATACGTTGAACTCGACGGGAGGATCAATCATATATATATATATATATATATATATATATATATTAATGGTTATACCTCGTGAAATGCGATAATGGAACTAGGACGCAGAGGGTTATAGGGAGTAAAAGAGAAAGAGAAGTGTAGAGACGACTAAAGAAACAGGGTCCAGGCAGATAGAAAATGGCGTATTTAGGAATGGTCAGGTAAAAAAAGGGGTTGATACGTACAAGTCACTTCAGCCCATATGTATATCCTAAGTCATGGATTTTGACATGTCAGATAATATTTTATGCTCACTAACTGCTCTACTATCGTGACCTTGTGCCAGACTATAACTGATTGATTCGTTTTCTACGACTAGTCAAGGTGCGCCCAGAATAGTTGCAGGTCGATTTATCAGGAAGGCGACTAGAGGAGGTGATCCCAACGTGCGTGCCTGAAAACCATACCACGAGTAGACGATATTCAGTCACCACCCCCACTAGGGCATTATGTGGCACAAGGCCGGTTTTTTAACGTGGGATCTCCGAGCCCGTGGTCTCGGCTCAAAAATATGCCCATTGAATTCGTATACACGGGTTCAGGGTCGGTTTACCTCCCCGAAAGAGACTCCGCCCTTCGGCGTAGCCCCGTTCGGGTTCCTCCCCGCCCGAAGGCAGAGTGTTCAAACGATCAGCCGGTCAAGACTTGAACGGGTAGATCGATGCAGATTATTTCTTGGAGATAATAATGATTTACTGACACAAGTCTTATTAGCTAACTCATAGCTGAGGGGAAAGATGGAATCCATATTTTTCGGAAGGGTATTTGTGTTTAAGTGAATATAACGAACCCAACTGGAATTGGAACTCGGTTCTCTGATTAACAATTCCTTTATCCATTACGCCACCCGCACATCCAAGCTTACAACAGCTGCTATTCCAAAGCGGTCACCCATCTTGGTACTGACCAGGTTTGACGTTAGCTTCAGTGATCATACGGGAACCGATGGTAAAAGTGATTACGCGGCCTTGTGGGTGATGAATTATTCTCCACCGTGCAACCCTTATCGCACAGAAGAAAAGTGTCTAGGCTCTCCCTGCTTTATAGCTATTTCTCTGGCAGAATGAAATTCTTTATTCCCACCAGTTTAGGCCTTAATTTGGCACAGACTCGCTTTGCCATGGTCACGTCGTCAAATAATCTCCATATCTGACGTATCCCTTCGGCAAGGACTAATATTAACCAGGACAGCTTCTTCCCCCAGACGTGATACTTTGTGGAACAGACTCCCGAGATGATGCTTCCCAGACCACTGCAATCTTAACCTCTCCCAAGTCTCTAAGTGGCGCAGCTATTCGTAATCGAGGATGCCCGTCTACTAGAGCGGCTAGCTAATCTTCAGTGAAGACGCCTGTTCAGGCACATTTTGTGTTTGTTAGATACCCACAGAGCCCACATGTGGTTTATACTGTAACTCTACTTAGCAGGCCTCAGTTACAGTTTCTGTGGGAGAGCGTGTTATCTAGTGTGATTTGAAGAAGGCTAGCACAACCATCGACGGCTCCCATGGATCCCGTCTACCCAATTTCACTCACAAGGCTTGGGTCAACCCGTGGTATGGTTTTCGGGCACACATGCTCGTGTTGCCTCCTCCAGACCGTTAACATCAAGAAGTCACCTTCCTGATAAACTGACCATGGCGAAATTCGAATCCGAGTCTCATGGTCAAAAGCGAATGTCTAGCGAATGTCTAGGATGAACAGATATCTATCCGATATATCCTCATAATATACACTTATTTTTTTTTTTCCTCCTCTCTCCCTTACAACATTGCCATTAAATAACTTCGAGATAACAGAGAGAAATAAATAAGACAAACTCGTATGTAAGTAATGAAATAGAAGCTTTAATACACACAGGTACACTTAGCAATTGACCTAATGCTAACTTGGTATTTACCCGAGCTCCCCACAGAACGGGATGTTGCACAAGGCCAGTTTAATTTTTGTCCGTAGAAAAATACTCCGTAGCCTCGTCTGGGTTCCTTTCTGCCCGAGTTCGACAAGCACTAAGAGCTTAACGCGCGGCTAAGACCTAATGCTGACCCGGTATTTACCCGAAACTCTGCCCTTCAGTATAGCCTTGTCTGAGTTCCTCTGCCCGGTAAGAGAAGGTTGATGAAACAGGTGATTGAAGAAAGAAAGAAAGAAAGAAAGAACAAGGAATGAAAAGAAAGAAAGAGACAGAAAGGAAAGAAAGGAAATGACTGGAGATATCAGGGTGGGCTGAGAATTTCTGGGTCCTAAACCCCTTTCCAAAATTAGTATATTAATGACCAAATGTCAGAATACTGATTTTGTGAAGAGGGGCGGATTGAGAGTCTCCCCGCACGCCATCTTGTTTCTAAGAGCAGAAGATCATCGCATGAAGGGAGGAAAACAACAAAACCTTGGGAAAATTAGTTCTGAGAAATAAAACTAAAAGAAGTGATTGCAATGAAGGAGAAAAAATTGAATTAAATGACAGATTGAAAACGAAGAAAAAAAAACGATACATGTGGTTTGAAAAACGGAGAAAAAAGTTCGAGGAAAATAACAGAAAAAAACGTAAAGAGATGGAAAAAATGAAGAAAAGGAAAGAAACAAGTGATTAATAATGAAAGAATGAAGAGGTAAAGAAGGGATGGAGGAGTCAAAATAAGAAAAAAAGAAAGAAGAAAAGAGAAGTCAGTACAGAAGAAAAGTAAGAGAAAAAAGAAACACAAAGTCAAAACGGAAAGAAAGAAAGAAAGAAAGAAAGAAGGGAAGGAAGAAAGAAAAAGAAAGAAAGAAAGAAAGAAAGGAAAGAAGAAAGAAAAGAAAGAAGGGAAGGAAGAAGAAAAAGAAAGAAAGAAAGAAGGGAAGGAAGAAAGAAATAAAGAAAGAAAGAAGGGAAGGAAGAAAGAAAAAGAAAGAAAGAAAGGAAGAAAGAAAGGAAGAAAGAAAGAAAAAAAGGAAGAAAAGAAAGGAAAGAAAGAAGGAAGGAAGAAAAAGAAAAGAAAGAAAGGAAGGAAGAAAGAGGAAAAGAAAGAAAAGAAAAGGAAGGAAGAAAAAAAAAGAAAGAAAGAAAGGAAGAAAGAAAGAAAGAAAAAAGAAGGGAAGGAAGAAAGAAAAAAGAAAAAAAGAAGGAAGAAAGAAAAGAAAGAAAGGAAGAAAGAAAAAAAGGAAGGAAGGAAGGAAGGAAAAAGAAAGAAGGGAAAAGAAAAAAAAGAAAGAAAAAAAGATAAAAAGCAAAAGAAAAAGTATGAGAGAAAGAAAAAGAAAAGAATGAAAGGAATCACACAGACACAGACACACACACATATACATATGTGTGTATGTGTGCGCGTAAATACAAACATGTTAAATGAAGTCGAATATGTATATATATTGCACTTCGAACTTATATATATATATATATATATATATATATATATATATATATATATATATATATATATATATATATATACGCATACGCCGACTGATGTTGTCAAATCTCCGACGGATGCCAACACGGTAGGGTTTCGATCCCGGCTTGAAGCAACCGGATGTCTAACCACACTGATGAGCTGTGATACAGAGAAACAGGCCTGTATGTGGATGACCATATTAAAGCTCTCGTTTATTCGATTGAGGGAGGAAGGTAATTCCAAAACAGTGGCAGTCCCCGCCATTCTTCATTAATGAATCGAGCACTGTTGGCCACTGGCGTTTGTTTACATTCGTATACAATACGTTCGAATTTCCCTTCCTCTCTGCCGTGCGCCGATAGCTTAGGGGTAGGGTCTCCGACTGATGCCAAATCGATATGTATACGTATGGATATATATATATATATATATATATATATATATATGTGTGTGTGTGTGTGTGTGTGTATGTATATATATATATATATATATATATGTGTGTGTGTGTGTGTGTGTGTGTATGTATATATATATACACACACACACACACACACACACACACACACACACACACACACATATATATATATATATATATATATATATATATATATATGTGTGTGTGTACTGGGTGTAACAGCAAAAATTGTTCAAATAGTGTAACAGCAAAATTGTCCAATTGTTAGACTGATGCCAAATCGATATGTATGTGTGTATGGCTATATATATATATATATCTCCAAGTATATAATTGGTATATACGGAATGAATTCCAATAACCAACAATTACTATTCTTAAAAGAGTGCTCAATACAAAGTAGAGCATATATTATATTTATAAATATATGTTATAAATGTTTATTTTTACACACTCTGTGTCTTATCAACATCATCACTTGATAAGACACAGAGTGTGTTGAAACAAAATGGCTATTTTGTAATGATTTTATAACATACTTATGTTATAATTTTTTTAAAATAATTATATATATATATATATGTGTGTGTGTGTGTGTGTGTGTGTGTCTATATATGTACCGTGTAACAGCAAACTATCTAAATACTGTAAAGCAAAATTGTTCAATTGTTAGATTGGGTTTTGAACCGTTGTATCTTAGAAATGATTAAATATATCTTACTGGAATTCTCTGAGGTTTTTATAACACTGCTGGAGGCTACTTTCAACAATGATAATGTATTTAAAATGATGATCCCTCTTGATGCTGTGACCTCCTGATCCACCTTTCCTCTCTCAATTTTGTTGTTTTACACTCGGTATATATTGGAAAAATTGTATGACAAAGTGGAAAAAAGTTTACTGGCGGCACATTTCGGCCTTCAGGACTTTATCAGACGGAATTTGTTATATTGGTACATGAGCACGACAGTGGGCTGCTGGGAATTTCAATATTTTTTTCTAATTTCTTATCTAGTTGAATTCATTTAGAGTCTTTTTCTTTTTATTTCCATCACTTTTGTAAGTAGATATTCCACACTATGTCATTAGAAGATCTGCCAGAAATAGTAACAAGTTGTAAGAGCCAGGCGATTAAGGTACTTTCTAGACATTTACGTCGTAGTGAATTATTCTCTCATTTTATGTTAAAATTGTTTCGTTACGGTGAGCAACCAACGCATTTGACGCATTATTTTGTAAAATGTCCCTTTTGTGTTCATATAATTAAATTTTTTGAGGTTTTCCCCTTTGTATTTTTGTTACAATTATTACAGGCGATGGAACTTCAGTATATGTCTATATTTCTGAGATGAGGTATTATGTACGCTATTTACATTATTCGGACCATTGTCCTCATCTTTGTCGCCATTTTTATTACAACCTTTCGGCCGTTGTACGCGCCGGCCTTCTTCAGATGGTTGGAATGTCGAACTGAACCCTTTATTTCGCTCACTGGGGTAGACTGTTCTAGTTCCATGTGCCATGTTTAATGGATGTTAGTTATCTCCTGTTAATTCCCCTCTCCAAGTTCGCCATTGCCTTAACCGGGTATTGAACTCACACTCTTTGGGTCCTGTCACTGGATCTAACCAACGCCTTTATCCACTGTGCCATGTAAATAGATGGAGATTCAGTTTTTAGATTATTATTTTGTTTAGTATTGACTAAGGAAGCACGGTGGAGTAATGGATAACGGCTCGGATTGAGGAATCGGAGAGCCAATTTTGAATTTCAGTCGAAGAGTATCCATGCCTTTCGCAAGGCTATTAGCACGTAAGTAACTAATTAATAGTGCACATCAGTGTTAATACCCTTGCGAAAGTTATGAATCCTCTTCTCCACGCCACGGCTATGGATAAATGGAAGGCCAGACCGGATTCTATAGCGTTGGATGGCAACTGGTCTACCGCAGAAAGAAATGGCAACCTACTACGGGAAAAAAATCTGCCTCGTCAGTCATGTATCTTTCGTTACATGATCGTCTAAGCGTGTAACACGCAAGGAACATAACTGACCGAGTAACAAATTTTGAGTTGAGTTTACGTAGATTCTTCTCGATTATAGATGCAATAAAGTCAGTAAACAGGATAAAATATTTTTTTTTCATTCATATATATATATATATATATATATATATATATGTATATATATATATATATATATATATATATATATATATATATATATATATATATATATATATATATATATATATATATATATATACATATATATACATGTATATATATATATGTATATATATATATATATATATATATATATGTATACATATATATATATATATATATATATATTGTATATATATACATGTATATATATATATGTATACATATATATATATATATATATATATATATATATATACATGTATATATATATATATATATATATATATATATATATATATATATATATATATATATATAAATGTGAAGCAGATTTTCCTGTAGCGAACTAAAATTAAGCTAAGCTACTTTTTTAAATGGCGCATCGGCATCTGGTATCACTAATAGTAAATTGAAACTTATTGGTGCTTAATAGTGGTTTTGTGTCAAACTAAGCTAGCTTAGTTTTAAAAAACGCTCCCTGGATGTCGTGTAATGTTTAACGATGCTAATTTGGTCGATCATTTGTAGCGTATCCGATTTTACTAAAATTAACTGCCAAGGTTTTATATATATATATATATATATATATATATATAGATAGATAGATAGATAGAGAGAGAGAGAGAGAGAGAGAGAGATAATCAATCAAGAACACCGGATTATATATGTTACTGTGCTTTTTATTTTAATTTATATTATATATATATATATATATATATATATATATATATATATATATATATATATATATATATATATATATATATATATATATATATATATATATATATATATTGTACAGTGGTTTTTATTTTGTAACTTTGGGAATTTGAGAGTCGACATTTGAGAGTTGAGATATTAGTTGAAATTAAACATCTTTTCCGATTTTTTTTTACCGTCAATATTAAAGAGTTATTGATAATGAAAGAAGTGAGAAACAAAATCAATACGAATGAAAGAAACAAAGAAAGAAAAGAAAAATATATTAAAGGTTAGATAAGAGAAAGAAAGGAATGAAAGAGAAACAAAAGAAAGAAAGAAGAAAGGCAGCCCTTAATAAAGATCAGAATTCTACGACTAACAATAATAATAATGACGTGAATGTGAAAAATATCACAAGAACAAGGAAAGAAAATAGAGGAATATTTAATGATTAATTAAGAAAAAAAAATGAATAGATTTAATGGAGAATCAAAATAAGTAACTGAAAATGAAAATAGAGAGAAAAAAGGAAAGAAAAATGAAAGAAAAATGAAAGAAAAAAGAAGTGGTTAATGAACGAAGAAGAAAAAGGAATAAATACAACACATAAAGGGGTAAAATAAGAAAGGGAAAATGAAAGAAAGATTAAATGAATGAAAAAAATAAAAAATAAAAGAAGCAGTTAATGAATGAATAAAATGTATCAATAGATTCAAGTAATAAAGTGAAAGAAAGAATAATGAATATGCTCACTTACATAGTGATTCTCTAAGCGCTGCTTAGATGTGGCTCAAGGCCGGAAGTACGGAGCACCCAGAATCGAACTCACAACTCAGTCGTAATTGTTCTAGCGAGACAAGCTTGCTAACCATTGCACCACACCGAAGTGCCCATATACTTACTTACGTATATTATTTATATATTCGGACTGTTGTCCTCATTTTCATAGCAATATTCACAACGTTTCGGCCATTGTGCATTCCGGCCTTCTTCAGGATCTTTCTATATTTCTGAGATGAGGTATTGTAATTATTTACTTTGTTCAGACAGTTGTCCGCTGAGTTGTGTCTCGGGAAACAGCTACCCGACTCTGTTTTATATTGAGTCTACGGAGAATTTTTGGCCGAGCCTACAGTCTCGGATTCCTCACATTAAATTGGGCCTTGTGCCACATCTGACCGCGTGGGGTGGTTGGTAAATATTCTGCATTCACTTGTCTAACTTCTTCTCAGTTGACTACTTCTACGCGCCGCTGGCGAATCTTATACGTGTTGTTCATGTCCTAAGTATTATCGTTCATTACCAAACTTCGTGTGATTATTCTATTCTCTAGATTACAACAGGAACCAAAGTAGTAAGGGATTAGATTAAATAAATTAGTCATTGTCCTTCATTTTAGTTGTGAATTCATGATGATATTGAGGAGGTCGTTGATAAAGATAAGAAAGTATGTTAAATATAGAACCCCGGAGGATCAGCACATTAATGTGAAGGGATCTAGAGGCGTGGTCATTGAACACGTCTTCAATACACAAAGACCGATTTCATTTTTTTAAAATAACGATTTAATTAATATATTCGGCCAGAGAAACCCTAACCCTTGAGCTTGTGAAGAAACTGAGCATGCCAAACCTTGTCAAACGCCTTCAAGATATCTAAAGCCACAGTCCGAGCCCTGCCGTTCTTATATAAAGCTTGACATACGCTTCCAGTAATAACCGTTAATACAGCGGCAGTTGACTTAGAAAAGCGAAATTCATATTGCTTGTCTTAAAGAAGACTTCTTAACTCGTTCAGAGTTGATTAGATCCACTAGTAATTTGCCAAAGAGAGGCAATAAGACGATAATCCGCGGGATCAGAAGGTTCTGAGTTCTTAAAGGCAGTAACTACAGAGGCGGCTTTCCAATTAGCTGGAAAGCAAATAGAAGCAAGGCATTGGTTGTAGAGTTTGAAGAGAACAGAAGCCAATTGAGGAGCAAATTTCCAGTTAAGGAGGACAATAGCAGGGATACGGCCATGTCTGTATGCCTTGGAGATGATAACAGAATCCATGAACGGGGTTATGGGCATATCACACAGTAGAGATTCCGTTCTAGGGAAAATCCGACAAATGGTAAAAAGAAAGAACGATTGAATAAATGAAAGAACGGATGGATGAAAGAGAGAATGAATAAATAAATGAATAAAGGCATGAAAAACTGAATAAATGATAGAAATAAGGAATGAAA